AATGGTACCCAGTTCTGATGTTGTCTGTCAGGTTGTATAGCAAACAAATGATGAGTAGACCATCACTTCTGCTCCGTGACATCCGTACGCTGCATTACAACAAACTGGGTTCGAGTCCCGCCGGGCGAGGTCGAAACTGCAGTCCAGTCCAATCGGAATGAAAATACCTTCTGGGAAATAAGGCTCTTTGAAGTCAAAGGAGTTTGTCTCGAGGACAAAGAAATTGAATATTGATGATGAGACTGCCAGCGAAACGTCTGGCAAAGCACCAAGTGTATGGTCTGATACTGGACATTATCATGACTACTGAGGTAGATGCATTACATTTAGGTCGCCTTGACAACACCAGACAAAAAAAGACTTCAAACCACTTCAATCATGAGAAAGTTGAGGTGTAAATTGGCGGAGAGGATGTGATCGTTTGTTGATGATACAAACTTCGATGCTGGCGAAACTTCTGATAATGTAAGGCGACATGGCAACAATGGCAGAAAACGTTGAACACAGTCAACTTTGTTGTGTTGTCTGTACGACTATTGGCCGAGTACACCTCCCGACGGTCGTTTAGGCTACCAATCGTCAGGGCGAGATGATAAACCAGAGTTCGGATGGTCGAATTCGAGTCCTCTTTTGAGGGGTTTCGGGATGCACCAGCGGTTACCACCTCGTTTGTGGTCGTCGATTGTTGCTTTCACTTCACTCGAGACAAAGAAACCTCTGCCTACGCCTCTTCTTGGCCACTTCAGATGCTGCTTTCGTCTGTCAAACGGTCTACACCTTCCGCATATATCCGCATTCTTGACTCGGTTTTGCTGTTGACCTGAGTTGCTGTTCCCAATTCTTGTGATGAAGAAGACCTCTTAATGACGGCCCACTAATATATTTAATTACCTAACAAAGAAAAGTTATTTTTTGTATATAAGTAGTGCTTTCAGACTACTAGTAAGTCAATTATATGAGATTTCGTCATCCTATTTCGTCTAAGCCCTTTCGTCATCTTAAACGAACTATGGTGAATACATCTCATATAAATAAAAGTTATTTTTGATGAGTATGTGAAAAAATCCGGTCCCTTATGTTCACAAAAAGGCAACTACACACCCACAAAAGCACAAGGGCACAGACGTTTCTACCAACCAAACCAGTGTATCCCACAAAAATACGTTAGGTGGGACTATGGATATGTGCAGGATTTAGATATAC